AAAAAAAAAAAAAAAAAAAAAAAAAAAAAAAAAAAAAAAAGAGGAGCCCATGGAGGCTGAGTCTGAAGCGGTAAAGTAGTTTTGGAGGAAGTGTTATTCTCCGGGAAAAAATCAAGACTCGAGACTCCTGCCTGGGTGCAACTTCTTATGTGGGGGCCTGGCGGTGTCAAAACTTTGAAGATTAATGGACGACTTTGTTAATGACTCACGGCGTCAGATTGAGGTGCTTAAATGATTTGTGAGGTGCAAAGCGCTTTCCTGACAGTCCCAAACAATGAGGGGAGAGTGCGCGGGCGGAGGCGAGGAGGCAGCGGGCTGCAGGACGGGCGCACACACGCGGGGACACACGGACACAAGCACACACCCCGCAGCCGCCGCACCAACGCACCCCCTCGCCCTCCCCCCCGCCCCGATCATTTCAGATTAGGACGCCGAGGGGATGGATGCGGGAGATACCGTTTCCCTCTTTAAAAAAAGTGTAAATAAAGCCTTTCTGGCCCCCAATGAGGCGTTCCTTCCCGACTTTTTTGGATCAATCAAACAGACAGTGGCTTCTTTTGATTAAAGCCCAAATTGTCATTGGGCAGAGGCAATCATGTGACAGCCAATTCGGTCCAATTTCAACCTTGTCTCCATGAATTCAATAGTTTAATAGTAGCACGGTCCCCATACGGCCGTAATCAGTGAATTAGAAAAAAAACACCCCACCAGCGATCTTCTATGATATATTTTTTTCTCCTCTCTCTCCTTTTTCCTGGGCCTTCCCCCCCCGAGCCCCCGGCATCCGAGGGAACTTTTTCTCCGCGGGGGCTGCGAGTTGAAGGCCATGAATTTCGAATTCGAGCGAGAGATCGGTTTTATCAATAGTCAGCCATCGCTTGCTGAGTGCCTGACATCTTTTCCCCCTGTCGGTGATACATTTCAAAGTTCATCAATCAAGAACTCGACGCTTTCACACTCGACACTGATTCCTCCTCCTTTCGAGCAGACCATCCCCAGCCTGAACCCCGGCGGCCACCCTCGCCACAGCGGCGGCGGCCGCCCCAAGGCGAGCCCCCGCGCCCGCAGCGGCAGCCCGGGCCCCGCCGGCGCCCCGCCGCCCCCGGAGTACCCCTGGATGAAAGAGAAAAAGGCGTCCAAGCGATCCTCGCTGCCGCCCGCCTCGGCCTCCGCCTCAGCCGCCGGACCCGCCTGCCTCAGCCACAAAGGTCAGTCCCGGGGCTCGCCGCCCCCCGGCCGCCCGCAGCCCCCTCTCGGACGGGGCTCCGCGCGGAGCCCAACTTTCCCGAGTCGCCCCAACGCGGGATGATTTATTTGAGTTGGAGCTGACCTCTCTTGTCTCGCTGTCCTAGAGCCGGGCTATTTGACAGTAATGAAGAGTGATAGATTGCTCCCGCTCAGCTCGGCGGCTGATGCATTAATTATCAATCGCGCTATGGCCGATATAAAGTTGGCCGCGGCGTGGGGAGGGCGCGGAGCGGGGGCCGCGGGGCGCGCCGAGGGGCCGGGGGGCTCCGGGCGCCGCACAATGGGGTCCCGCGGCCGAGGGCGGCCATTTTGTTGCAGTCGCTATTTTATGCTGCGAGGACATATGGCTAGAGAGTCGCTTCCACGCAGGGAGAGAGGGAGAAGCGCTGCCCCCCCCTCCAGCACGGGCCGCGAGGGGCTCGGGGACCGCGGTGCCATCCGCGCTTTTCCCCGACGTGCGCGGGGCTCTGCTTCGCCTCCGTTCTTTGCTGCTCTACGGGGCGCGTGTGCGTGTGGTGGTGGTGGCGGTGGTTCGCCTTCTCTTTTTCTTTTTTAACAGACCCCCTTGAAATCCCCGATAGTGGCAGCGGTGGATCTAGGCGGCTGAGGACGGCCTACACCAACACGCAGCTCTTGGAGCTGGAGAAAGAATTCCACTTCAACAAGTACCTCTGCAGACCGCGCCGGGTCGAGATCGCAGCGCTGCTGGATCTGACCGAGAGGCAAGTGAAGGTCTGGTTCCAGAACCGCAGGATGAAGCACAAGAGGCAGACCCAGTGCAAGGAGAACCAGAACGGCGAGGGGAAATTTAAGGGTTTGGAAGACCCCGAGAAGGCGGCGGAGGACGAGGAGGAGGAGAAAGCCCTCTTCGAGCAAGCCCTCGGCACCGTCTCGGGAGCGCTGCTGGAGAGGGAGGGGTACGCGTTTCAGCAGAATGCGCTCTCGCAGCAGCAGGCGCAGAATGCGCACAATGGCGAATCCCAAAGTTTCCCCGTTTCGCCTTTAACGAGCAATGAGAAAAATCTGAAACATTTTCAACACCAGTCACCCACTGTTCAAAACTGCCTCTCAACAATGGCCCAGAACTGCGCAGCTGGCCTCAACAATGACAGTCCTGAGGCCCTCGAGGTCCCCTCTTTACAGGACTTCAACGTTTTCTCCACAGATTCCTGCCTCCAGCTTTCAGACGCGGTTTCCCCCAGTTTGCCGGGCTCTCTGGACAGCCCCGTAGATATCTCCGCTGACAGCTTTGACTTTTTTACAGACACGCTCACCACGATTGACTTGCAGCATCTGAATTACTGAGAAATTAAAGACGTCCTCTCCCAGGGTCCTGCCTTCTCCTCCTCGTTCCTCCCCTTTATTATTATTATTTTCCCAGTGAATTAATTTTATTTCCTCCCCCCTCCCCCCTCCCCCCCCCGGTCGGTACATTCTGTTTGTCCCCTCCCTTCACCGTGCCATTTTACCGATTCTGACCAAGTTTTAGTTGTCTTCGGTTTTAACCTAGCCACGTTCTAGGTCCTTCGACGAAAGCAATATATGAGGTCTGTAAGAAAGTGATCATATAGGGATCGTATCGTCACTTTCTTTTTATTTTTGTATTGCATTAGGATGCGTTGTCATAAGTATTTTTGGTAGAATAAATTCTTGTTTGCTACAAGGCGCTTTCTCTTTTTTTTCCTTTTCCTTTTTTTTTTTTTTTTTTCCCCCTCCCTCTCTCCTTTGAGCACTGATAACACAACGGGTATTTCTCACTATTAACTCACTAATAATCAAACCCTGCCATCTCTCTCTGGTTGGAAACGCAGGACATTTAGCAGAGAGGAAAAACACGTTCAAATTCTTTATTTCGAAGGTTAGCGGAGAGGAAACAAACAAACCAACCCAAACCGTTCCCAGCTCCTGTGGCGATTTCTTCCCTTTAGTGTATGACCACAGTATCTCCGTGAGGACGCGGAGCTTGAGAATGCCCAACTCTAACAAAGCCGTAAGGGAGAGCTTTCTCTGTTACAGACAAAACGAGGGGCACGGTCCTGCAGAAATGAGCCTGGTACATTCACGGAAGGCTTTTTCTCACTTTTTTTCTTTTTTCTTTTACTTTTTTTCTTTCTTTTTCTTTTCGAACATAGCATTTTGTTCTCGACCATAATGAGCAGCCAGCAGGCTGGCTGGGAAACCTTAAAAATCTGAGCTCACAGGGTGCGTTCGATGGGTCTTCCCGCGCGGAGTGGTCCGGGAGATCAGCCCTAAAAGGAGAAGGAAGGGAGAAGTTAGAGCCTGCAACAGCCAAAGGCCGCACGAATAACTGGGGGAGGGATCGCACCCTCCGCTCGGTCCTTTTTGGGGGCGGTGAGGGGTCGTGGAGGACGATATTTACTGTTCAACCCCATCCTGGGGGGCGACCCAAAAGGGAAAGCTTTTATTCCCTAACTGCGGTTTCCTCGAGGTCCCCGCTCGCTGAGCCGAGCTGGGAAACCCCCGGCACACCTCGGGCAGCAGTGCGGCCGGGTCCGAACGGGGCGAATCCCCTCCCTGGGACGCGAATGGGGGCTCCCAGGAGGGCGAGAGGGGCGGCGGCCGCGGCTCCGTGCGTGGGGAGCCTGTGCGAGGAGAGCGGGGGCCTGGGAACGGCGCAGCGCTGCCCGTCCGTGCACGGAGAGCCGTCTCACAGCTCTGCACCGCGTTGTGGAGCCGGGATGCGTGGGTTATGGCTGGAAGGGCTGAACGCAATTCTTCCTAAAGTCATAAATCAAACGCTTTCTATGAATGAGAATGTCATCAAAGAGATCAATTGCAGGAACACATGCACAAATAAAAATCCTCTTACGTATTTGCCGGGGCTGGGGATCCCCGTCTAAAACCATTAAGTGAGAAGGCGTTTAGTCATAATTCATTTTTATTGCTCCTTTAAAACAACAGCTTGGCTGAGCTGCGGCCGCGGCGAAACCCCTGCCCTGCTCCTGTCCTCCTCCCGCTGCAGCCCTGAGCGGGGCGGGAGGCACCAGTGGCCCCGCACCTCTTTGGCAAGGGCCGAAACGGGCTGCTGTGTGCGGGGGCATTTTGTGGCCCGATGTCTGCGTGCTGGCAATGCATAAAAAATAAAAAATACATGTATTAAAAAATAAATTTAAAAGAAGAGGGAAAAAAAGAGACAGGAATAAAAATCCCCGACAAGATTTCAATTTTTCTCCAACTCGATTTAAATAAACGTGGGGGTGCAGCTATCAGGAGTCGCCTCAATTCCTCCCCATGAGCCCCGGGGCGCTGCGGGGGGAGAACTCCCACGCCAAAGCTTAAATGTGGGCCTCACTCTCGGGCAGGATACGGCGGTTCCCGAGCGGAGCCGCAGAAGAGCAGCGGTTGCCCCCGGCCCTACAGCCTCTGCCCCTCACACAGAACCGACAGCGAAAGCCCAAAGTATCGCGAGAGAGACAATGCAACAAAAGGGATGGGGGCTGCTCCCAACAATGGCACAGAAAAGGGGAAGGAAAAAAAAAAAGGGATTACAGGATGCTGGAGACTGTAAAAGAGGTGCTGTAATTTGCCGGGATTTACGGGTAAAACAGATCCATTTGCAGAGAAATACATATTTTTTCTTCGAAGGCTGATGTTAAAAAAAAAAAAAAAAAAAAAAAAAAAGCACTGAAAGGATGCCAGCTCTTTTATTGGTAAACAGTCCCAGTGGCCCTCCTTGCTCTGCCTTATGCTATATTTATCACAACAGGTTTACGGGAATGAAATGAATGTGTTTCCATCCCTTACCACAGCCCACACTGATGCAGTATAATGCCATAAACACCCCCGGAGTGTTGTTGCTGTCGCTCTCCCCACGACCTCCCTTCCTCCCCCTCCCGGAGTTTAAGAAACAGAACATTTCCAGAGGGCCCTCAGCCACTCGTGCCTGCTCAGTAAATCAGAACAAACAGAAATCCTAAGAGCGGCCCTTCAGCTTTTGCTGCCTGTAGAGAGGCCTTGGGGATGGCACGGGGTAAGGGTTGACCTAAGAGCAGCGGGAGAGCCCGCACCTCGGGGAGGATGTGGAGGATGTTGTGGTTCGGAGTGGAGGGAGGAGCTTGCGGGTGAGCGAGTGTGCGCGTGTGTTGGTGAGCAGGGAGAGGTGGCAGGGCAGGGGGAACCTTTGGGATTTCAAAGCAAGCAGCAGCGAGCACACAGCGATGGAAGAGCCGGGAGTGCACCTGCAGCAGCACAGGAGGCGGCTCCTCCCGGGGTCGGTGCTGAGGAGCACTGACTGTTGGTGCCAGCCCCTCTCCCTGAAGATAGACGAGAGCCTTGGGACGGATGGATGCCCGCTCTTTGCATCCCCTTTCACTTTCCGCATATGTAAACAGAATATGGGGTCGCAATCCACGTCCCATCGCGCCCCGTCCTTTTCTTTCCACGGACCTTTTTTTTTACTTTTTTCTTTTTTTTTTTTTTTTTTTTACCCGTGGATGGGGGTGGGGAAGTATAAGCTTAAACTGATGCTCATCCCTGTTCCCAAGGGTCCTGGGGCCACCTCTGCCACCGGCCATCTGCCACCTCCCACCACTGCAGGTCTGGGCGGTGGCAAAGCGCGGGGACAAAAGGGTCGGGCTGAGGGCCCTGAGTCTCCTGCGTCTCTCCGGGCCCTGCACCAGGACGCCTCCCCGGCCTGCGACCTGCAGCACACCGGGCATCCTTCCCCCACCCGGTCCGAGATATGCGGGTGGCAGCGCGCCGCGGGGACCCGGCAGATGGGTTGCGGAGCCCGGCGGGCCTCCGCCCCGTCGTCAGCCCCCCGACTCCCCCTCCCCTACCCCAGCCCCGGCTGAAGCGGGGAAGTCCGGAGAAGGTGCGGGGGGAGAGGAGGTGCGGGCTAGGGGGAGGCTGGCGTGCCCGGCAGAGCACAATGGCCGTCAGTCCCCGAAGCGCCTCATTTCCATGCTAATGTCCGCGGCCGCCTGGTGATGCGGCTGGACAAGCCCCTTTAACTCTTGGCGTCGCGTCGCGCTGGGCTCTGCGAAGGAGCCGGAGCAGCGGCCCCATTCTCATCCCCCGCATTATCCTCATCCCCGTCAGCATCCCCATTACGGTCTCCATCCTCACCCCTGGTCACATCCTCACCGCCGTCTCTAGCGCTGATGCTCTCCGCTCTGTCCCCATCACCTCTCCCCCGCCCCATGCCGCGGATTCAGCCCTCCCCATTCCGAGCCGGAAGAACGGCAAAGGTGCCCGGCACCAGTTTGACAGCCGGGTCGGCGTAGGGGCAGCCCGGCAGGGCCCGCCGCAGAGGCATTCACTCGCTCACTCACTCACTCACTCACTCACCCTGGAGGGGCCGGGCTCCGCGGGCCGGACTCCTCCGCCGGGTTCTCCGCTGCCTTCCCCTCTCAGCCAGCGGGCGGGACCCCGGCGGCGCGGCAGCCCTGCCCCTCGCCCCCCGGGGGGCCGCCGCCGCCCTGCCCCGCTGTGCCGCGCCGCGCCGTGCCGCGCCGTCGGAGCGCTCGGCGTTTAAATGCCCCCGACGCGGCGATCTATCAGCGGCAGGAGCCGGGAAAGTCCCGCAGGCGCCGCAGCCATTGGCTGCCGCCCCCCACGTGCCTCCCCGCTCGCGGTACCTTCGTGTCATTTTCCTCCCGGCCCCATGGAGGAAGTGGGAAAGTTGGCGCGGCCCCGCCGGACGCTGAAGACCCGGCGGCGGCGGCGTGACAGCGGCACGCTGCGAGGATGAGCTCCTTCCTCGAGTACCCCGTCCTCGGCGGCGAGGCGGGGGCCTGTGCCGCCCGCTCCTACCACCCTGAGCACGGAATTACAACTTTCCAGCCCTGCGCCGTCAGCGCCGGCAGCTGCAGCGGGGAGGACCGCTTCCTCGTGGGCCGCGGGGTGCCCCTCAGTCCCCACCGGCACCACCATCCCCCGGCCCAGCCTGCCTCCTACCAGCACCACGGCGGCCTGGGGGTGTCCTACGCGCATCCCGGCTGCCCCCCGACGTACGGCGCGCAGGGCTTCGGCGCCGCCTATGGCCCCTACGCTCTGGGGCAGGACGCCGAGCTGGGCGGCGGCTTCCCCCCCTGCGCGCCCGCCGTCTACTCGGGCAGCCTCTCCTCCGCCGCAGCGCAGCACCCGCACCAGGGCTACGCGGGGGGGCCCGCGCAGTACGTGCCCTCCCCGTACGGGCAGGAGCAGCAGAGCCTGCCCCTGGGCACCTACAACCATGCTCTCTCTCCCCTCCACGCCGGCCACCAGGACAACTCCCGCTCCCCCTCCGCCGACACCTCGCCGCCGGCGCAGACCTTCGACTGGATGAAAGTTAAAAGGAACCCCCCTAAAACAGGTCAGTGGCAGGCGGGAGCGGGGCAGCCCGGCCCGGTTCGCTCTGGCACCGCCGTCGGGGCGGCGGGGGGAGGCGGGTGCAGGTGCCCGCGGGGGCGGCTGGGTCTTGTGCCCTCAGCGCCGGGTGGGAGCCGGCGCCGGTTCTTCGGTCTCTCTCCCACCCCTCCCGCGGTCGTATTTCGTGTAATTCACAAAGCACTTCCCGAGTTTCCCCCGACACCGGGAGTTTAGCACCTCGCACCCCATCACTCACCCTGCCGGGGGTTCTCCCGTATCCCGAGGAATCCCTATCGCTCGGCCGCTGCGGGCGTATCGATTACGTAGCCTATAAATCATTTGCACTCGCTTAACGCTGCCTGTCTCCTCACAGGCAAGGCCGGCGAGTACGGCTTCGTGGGGCAGCCCAACACCGTCCGTACCAACTTCACTACCAAGCAGCTTACCGAATTGGAGAAAGAGTTCCACTTCAACAAGTACCTGACCCGGGCCAGGCGGGTGGAAATCGCAGCCTCCCTCCAGCTCAACGAGACGCAGGTGAAGATCTGGTTCCAGAACCGGCGGATGAAGCAGAAGAAGAGGGAGAAAGAGGGGCTGCTGCCCATCTCCCCCACCACTCCCACGGGCTGTGAGGAGAAGGCGGAGGACCCGTCGGAGAAGTGCTGCCCGTCGCCCTGCAGCGCCTCGCCCGCATCCTGCACCTCAGACCCGGGTCCCGCCACCAACTGAGCTCCCTCGAGCTGCGGTGCGCTCCGTCGGTCTGTCCGTTCGTCCGTCCGTTGGTCGGGCCCGGGGGCGTCGGCCCGGCCGCTCCTGGTCCCTGCCGCCGAGAGGTTTTATTTCGGTTCCCCCCTCCTCACCTCCTTGCCGGAGGAGTTGCGTTGGCACACGCGTGGGTTCTCCCTCCTCCCCGCAAGGATGTTCCTCTGAGTTTCACTGGCTGACAGACAGGTCATGGAGAGTACATAACCTCACGAAGAGATGCACTATGGCAAGTGTTTACACGACTTCTAGGACCTTCACCCTTTAATTTAATGTATACTTTGTTCGTGTCTATGAGTTTGTTGCTTGTAAATACTTTGTCCGAGAGATTTATCTTTTTACAGATTTTTCTAGAGAAGACGTTTAGATGATCAGGTGAAGCAGGGTGAGTGCATTCGCCAAACCAGACCCGCTTTTCTATCGGTCAGGCTGACGGCAGCATCAAGCAGACGTGTTAAGCTCCAGCAGATACCTCAAAGCGTAGCGCTATTTCCCAAAACGTGACAAACAAGGCTTCAATTGCACTAGGTTTTGTAAACCTTACCCTGTGTGCTCGTCCCTCCCTCCCCCATACAGCTGTGCTGGGCTGTGTCTGACAGAGGGACACTGCCGCCCCACAGACCTCACCTCTTCCTGTTTCCGTATCCCCCCTCCTTTAGCCTCGATGTCTTTTCGACCCACTCGTGAATGTGTCGGATGGCCAAATGAATGTATAACTTCTGTGGTTGGTGTCCGGGCCGCTGCATGCCGCCCCGTGTGTGCTGTACTCGGGACACGGAGCTCTGTCGGGCAGGAGCCGCGTCCCCCGACGTTGCGTACAATCACCAGGGCTCTGCGGTCCCCGCCGCTGGGACCCAGGGCAGGATTTACGGGTCCTTATGTCTGTAATAAATATATTCCGCTTTCAGGTATACCTCGTGTGTCTACCTCTGCGTGACGTCACTGGCACGTCACGGCTCAGCTCCCACGTTTTCCGCCGTTGGGCACTTCCGAGGGGAGAAGGGAGGAGGGTCCCAGCTTCATCCCCCCCGGCCTGCCCGGTCCGCCCCATAAACAAGAACCTTCCTCCTTTTCTATGCTCAAACAGCATTATTTTTAGAAAAAATATGTGGCCCTCCGCTGTAACTGGGAGGAATTTATGACCCCGATCTATTTCTGAAGCACAAACACGAGAGCTTCCTGGGTCAAGTGCTAACCTTTTCACCTCGGGATGGATGGTGACACTTACATAAACAGAGCACGCTTCAAAAGCAGAAACTGTCTTCGAGTCCTCTTTCCTCACGTCGCAGGCCCCTCGCAAGGGCTGCACATTTAATTACCGCGGGAATCGTGTCCCCCCCGCCCAGCGTTGCCACCCCGAAGGGCTGCCAAGGGATGGGGCGGGGGGGAGGGGATGCTCCCAGCCCGCTAGGTGCTCCCAGCCCGTTTCCAATCGCTGCCTTCGTATTTCTGGAGAAAGCCCAAACAAGTTATTGCGGGTAAATAGTGTGACATTTCCATGAGGTGCCAAAAGCATAGAGGTCGGGGAGGGGGACAGTGGGTGCCGGGGGGTGCCCGGAGCTCCCGCTGCCTCTGGAAGCTCCACGCATGACACCGCCTGACACGACACAGCTGCGGGGCAGCGCTGCCAGAGCGGCTCCGCTGTGCGGGATCGCCGGGAGCCAATGAAACGCTCTTCACTTCGGTGTCAAAAGAAACAAGCCCCGATCTGCAGGCGCGGCGGCCATATCAAGAGCAGCTATCTGCGAGGCAGCGGGGCTGTCTCCAAAGGCTCCCGCCAGCGCTGCCTCGATTTCTTTCATTTCCCAGCCTGCCATATACTTTACCTTTTGTTTATTAGTGTAAAGCCACAAAGCAAACCAGATGGCCTTCTTCCAGAGACTTGGATGTGTTAAAGTGGCATTTGCATGCCAATGAGGGTATTTCAATATCGAAATCTGGATCTAAACATTGCTGGAATCCGGATCTGAGAGCCGGCTCCCCCGATGCTGACTCAATGCGTTGGGAAGAGAGCTCATAAATTACAGCCTAAATGTGGGACGGGACACACGGCAGTGCGTCCGTCTGCGCGGAGCTGGGACAACAGAGCTTCCCCTCCTTCCGAGCCAAACCCCATGCTTTAACTTTTTTTTTCGCTTTATCATTTTTTTTTTTTTTATTTTTTTTTTTTTTTTTTCATCAGCCACGAACGATTTAAATCTGACACCCCCAACCTTCCCAACCCTAACTCATTTCGATATTTTTATTGTTATCATTTCGATACGATCAAGACCTCAGTGCTGCCGGTGGGGAAAGAAGGAACGAGTTTCTGGTACAGAAATACCTCAACGAGCAGAGCACGAGTTGGCCCAAGGGAACAATCAGCTGTCCTTCGGAATGAGGGGAACCTTTTGTTTTTACACCCGATTTTTTTCCCCTATTTTTCTCTCTTGAGTGTCTGGGAAACAAACAAGCAAGCAAACAAACCACACACACACACACACACAAAAAAAAAAAAAAAAACAAAAAACCAAAACACCAAAACAAACAAACAAAAAAACCCTACACCCCCCAAAACAACAACAACTGCAACAACCAAAAAAAAAAAAACAAAAACCCAACTCACAAAAAAATCTCCCTCACCAACCATCCCAACTCAAACCGCGTTCGAATGTCAAATGGAGTTTAGCATCCTCCTATCATACTTAAGGCCATTTCTACTGTTCACCTTTAAAGTTTACTTTTGGAGGCTATTGAGATGCTTTGGTGTTTTCCTCTGGGGCAATCAGATTGAAAGCGATCAATATTTACTCAGTCTGAAAGGGCTGTTGAAAAGGCAGCTAACAACAAACTGCTTAGCTGCTCTCCCCTCTTTAATCTCAGGTTCACCGAAAGTTCAGGCAGAAATGAATTCAGTGATGGGTCACTTTAGAATAAGCCCCAGTGGTTAATCTCACTGCCTCGCTAAAGGCAACAATCGCAGAGCCATCCCTCTCTCTCCGTCCCTCTCTCGGTCTCCCCTGCGGCGGTAATTCCCTCTCCTTTTTGCTCGGTCGTTCCGCGGTGTCCCGGAGATACGCACCGGGCTGCGGGGAACCGTCCCGCAGGGGACGCGGGGAGTCCCAGGGGCAGGGCGAGATGCTGGGAGCTTCTCCCCGGCAGCGGCAGGGTCAGCTGGAGGAGCCTCGTCCCCTTCTCCGTTCTCGGTGGGAATACATAATAATGATAATAAATCTGGCCATGAGAAGAAGAAATCTGGGCAAAACGCGCTGGATGTCGCTACTAATTGTAGGAAATCTTCGAAGGCCAGAGATCACGCAGATTAGTCACTGCATCACCGCATGCTTAA